CAAGTGCTGTTCGAGAATCGGCGTAACCCTCGGAGAGCTTGAGGACTATCACGGGGTTTGTCAAACAGAGCACATGGTGTAGTCGAAACGATAGCTGGGGATTCTGGGTAGTGTAGTGTCTTCTGCCATCCTTTACTCATAAAAAACATTTGTTTCTCCGAATCGAAGGGGAAAAAAAGAAGAAGCATTGCACACAATTTAAACCAATCAATGTTGTGTAATTAACAAGGATAATCTGGTGTTTTTTAGTCGATGAGTAGTGCAGATATCACTGTAAAATCAATCGACAGTAAGAGGAATACTTACTTCCGGGTGTACAATTCTCCGTTATCCAATGGGAATGGACGCTCACATTGCCTTTAAGGGCAGCCGACACAAACGAATGCCGTGCTTCCATGAGCGTCAAATCCCGCCGCAGATGGGAATACATTGCAATCAGTTGAAAGCTATTTGCGTCCCTTTATGACGCTGAAGGAGCCTAGGAGCGTCACAACTGGACGCCACGGACACTGACCAAACGTCGCTCCTGGACGCTTAGGGAGTGAGAGTGTGTTGTTGAGGCGCATCTTAAACTGCTGGCTAAAAAATAAATGTAAATACAGTAGGATTGTTATTCACGCCGGTGGTAATGATGTTCGTTTACGCCAATCAGAATGCACCAAACTTAATGTGGAGTCGGTGTGTAGTTATGCTAAAACAATGTCGGACACCGTAATCTTCTCTGGTCCCCTCCCCAATCTGATCAATGATGACATGTATAGCCGCCGCATGTCATAATTTCAGCGCTGGTTGTCTTGGTGGTGCCCAGCAAACAATGTGGGCTTCGTAAATAATTGGACAGCCTTCTGGGGAAAACCTGGTCTGATTAAGAGAGACGGCATTCATCCTACTTTGGATGGTGCAGATCTCATTTCGGCAAACATTTCAGGGCTTTGTGGACTTAATCCATGACAAAGTGGAGTTGAGACCAGGAGGCGGAGTCGCAGTCTTACACACTTCTCTGCGCTCTCTCCTAAGCAGTCATCCATAGGAATCCTGAACCCAATAAAATACCCAATATTAACGGTGTGTGTGTCTGCCCAAGGACAATTTAAGGTAAAACCTAATAGAGGTGTCATACATAATAATACCTAATAAAAGTAAATGTAACAACTACTACCGTGCAACAAAACAGGAAGATTAAATGTGGTCTCTTAAACATAAGATCTCTAGCATCTAAAGCAATATTGGTAAATGATTTAATATCAGATTATAATATTGATATATGCTGTCTCACTGAAACTTGGTTGAGACATGAAGAATATGTCAGCATAAATGAGGCCACTCCACCCAGCCATATCAATACTCATATTGCCCGAGGCACAGGCCGAGGAGGTGGAGTTGCAGCCATCTTTGACTCAAGTTTACTTATCAATACTGAACCAAAATTAAATTATACCTCCTTTGAAAGCCTCGTTTTTAGTCTTACGCATCCGACCTGGAAACATTTGCAGCCAATCTTATTTGTTACAGTGTACCGTGCACCAGGTCCTTATTCAGAATTCTTATCAGAATTCTCTGAGTTTTTATAAACTTTGGTACTTAAAACAGATAAAGTAATTATCATAGGTGACTTTAATATTCATGTTGATAAAAATAGCCTTACTGTTGCATTTAACTCTATATTAGATTCTGTTGGTTTCTGTCAGAGTGTAAATAAACCAACCCACTGCTATAATCACACTCTCGACCTTGTTCTGACTTATGGTATTGAAATTGAGCAACTATTAGTCGAACCGCATAATCCTGCTTTATCCGACCATTTCTTAGTAACTTTTGAAGTACTATTGCGAGACTACAAAGCATTAGTCAAAAGCTCTTGCAGCAGAAACCTATCTGTTAGTGCTATAGCCAAATTTAAGGAAGAGATTCCACCAATACTTAACTCGATAGCATGTCTGCATGTAAGGGAGGAAACTTATACAAAATGTACACCACCCCAAATTGATCATGTTGTTGATAGTGCTACAGATGCGCTGCAAATAAAATTAGACTCTGTTGCTCCTTTGAAAAAGAAGAAAATAAAACAACATAGATTAGCTCCATGGCATAATGCCGAAACCCGCAAAATAAAGCAAAAGTCGAGACAACTTGAAAGGATATGGCGTTCCACTAAACTTGAAGAATCTCGTTTAATTTGGCATATTACTCTCAATGAATATAAGAAAGCACTGCGTAAAGCGAGAGCAGCCTACTACTCTTCATTAATAGATGAGAATAAGAATAATGCAAGATTTCTTTTCAGCACTCTAGCCAGGCTGACAGAGAGCCACAGCTCGATTGAGCCTTCTATTCCCATAGCACTCAGTAGTAATGATTTTATGTGCTTTTTTAACGATACAATTGTTACTCTTAGAAACAAAATTAATGATCTCTTGCCTTTGACCAGTTGTTATCAACAGCTCCCGGAAACGTAAGTTCTAATATTACACTAGTAAACTAGAATGCTTTTCAGCCATTAACCTTGAACAATTAAATTAAATGATTCTCTCTTCTAAACCATCTAAACCTTGCATGTTAGACTCAATTCCAACTAAGCTGTTGAAGGAAGTTTTTCCATTAATTAGCACTTCTTTATTAAATATTATGAATATGTCTTTATTATCAGGCTATGTTCCACAATCATTCAAAGTAGCAGTGATAAAACCTCTTCTTAAAAAGCACAACCTCGATCCAGAGGTTTTAGCCAACTATAGACCTATTTCTAATCTTCCGTTCCTCTCAAAAATTCTTGAGAAAGCGGTTGCAAAACAGCTGTGTGATTACTTAAAAAACAATGATTTATTTGAAGATTTTCAGTCTGGCTTTAGAACACATCATAGCACAGAGACAGCTCTGGTTGAAGTCACAAATTACATTCTAATAGCCTCAGACAAGGGACTTGTCTCTATTCTTGTTTTGCTCGATCTCAGTGCTGCATTTGATACTATCGACCATGATATCCTATTGCAAAGACTAGAGCACTTAGTTGGCATACAGGGAACTGCTTTAGGCTGGTTTAGGTCCTATCTATCTGAATGCTCTCAGTTTGTACGTGTTAACGATGAATCTTCCACGCAAACCAAAGTTAGCCATGGAGTGCCACAGGGCTCAGTGCTCGGACCTATTTTGTTCACATTATATATGCTTCCGTTAGGCAATATTATAAGGAATCATTCTGTAAACTTTCATTGTTATGCGGATGATACTCAACTATTTTTATCAATCAAGCCTGATGAAATTAATCATCTAAATAAAATTCAAGACTGCCTTAAGGACTTAAAAACGTGGATGACCTTACATTTTTTTATGTTAAACACGACCAAAACTGAAGTTATTGTACTTGGCCCGAAGAATCTACGAAACAAACGATCTAAGAATATACTAACTATGGATGGCATTAATTTGGCCTCCAGTGAGACTGTAAGGAATCTTGGTGTTATATTTGATCAGGATTTATCCTTTAACGCCCACATAAAATCAATTTCAAGGACCGCCTACTTCCATCTACGTAACATTGCAAAAATCAGGCATATCTTGCCTCAAAACGATGCAGAGAAACTAGTCCATGCATTTGTTACTTTAAGGCTGGATTATTGTAACTCTTTATTATCAGGGTGTACCAAGTCAGTCAAGTCGCTTCAGCTGATTCAAAATGCTGCAGCTCGTGTACTAACCAGAGTTAGGAAAAGGGACCACATTACTCCTGTTCTGGCTGCCTTACACTGGCTCCCTATAGAACACAGGATAGAATTTAAAATTCTTCTTCTTGCCTACAAAGCCCTTAATGGGCAGGCGCCATCTTACCTTAAAGAACTCATTATGCCCTATTAGGGCATTGCGTTCCAAGAATGCAGGGTTGTTGGTTGTTCTTAGAGTCTCTAAAAGTACAATGGGAGCCAGAGCCTTTTCTTATCAAGCTCCACATTTGTGGAATCAGCTTCCAGTTTGAGTTCGGGCGGCAGACACCCTATCCGTTTTTAAGAGTGCGCTTAAGACCTTCCTTTTTGATAAAGCTTATAGTTAGGGCTGATTAGATTCAGCCCCTAGTTTTGCTGATATAGGCTTAGTTTGTCGGGGGACATCTTGCTTCTTCCTTCTCTCTGTCTACTCTCATGTTCCGATTAACCCAGCTTTCCCAAATTTCTTTCTTTTTGGTGTCTATATACGGCGGGATCCGGAGACATGGATGATCCTGCGGTCCTGGATCTTGAGTCGTGGCTGTGGTCCTGGATGGATATCCTCGTGGATTAATCTTCCTATTATACACACATGCATTTCCAAACATTTGGACTACCTATGTTGCAAATGTATTATCTTTTCAATTTACACACGGCATCTATTGCACGTCTGTCCGTCCTGGGTGAGGGATCCCTCCTCTGTTGCTCTCCCTGAGGTTTTAAACTGTGGGTTTTCTCCGGAAGTTTTTCCTTGTACGATGTGAGTGTCTAAGGACAGAGGGTGTCGTATTGTCATACTGATATTCTGTACACACTGTGAAGACCACTGAGACAAATGTAACATTTGTGATATTGGGCTATATAAATAAACATTGATTGATTGATTGATAGATGGGGTAGGACCAGAAACGTTTTCAGCTTCTTCTTGCACGCGTTGAACATGACAGAGAGACAGAGACTATTTGAGGATTATTTTATTTGTTTGTACCGTGAACGTTTTTTGTATCTGTTTGTTATAATTATTGTTATAAGAAAAAATATATTATTATTGTTGTGTTTTGTTTCTGACATGTTCAATACAATTGACAAAAAACATTTTAACAGATTATTTATACTTTTAGCTACAAGATCAGAATACTTCTACCACTGCACTAATGAAATCATCCTGACCCATGAACCTTCTCAGATATATAATATATATTTAATTAGGTTTTTGACACTATTTATAAATGGTAAAACCAAATCATTTAGTTAAAACCCCCAAAACACAAACTGAACATTAAAAAATTATATGAAAATAAATGTGAATAGAAGCAGAACATTTTATTTTCATAATGGTGGCACAGCAAAGTAGATTAATTCCCCATATACCTCCAGGTTGTATCACAGCAAACAGGACACAAGTCCCTGGGCCTTTAAGTGTCAGTCTGCAAATATGCACATCATGTTTATGCATTCACAAGTCAGGAACTGAGCGGAAATATTTGGATTATTCTTTCAGTGGGGACAAGTGAGTTCGTTTTCAAAGCACGGGCTTATCACAGCAAGTTAAATGCATTCTTGGTGATGTGTGTCGGATTTCCCAAATGAGATTGTTATGGCTTGAAGGCAGCGAATAAAACACAAACATCAGAGGAGCCTTCAGTCATTCACAGCTCATTTAAAACATTACTGAGGGACGCCACGCTAATGAGGTCACCCCGTGTAAAGGAAACCACAGCTACTGAAACTGATTCCTAAAGGAACAGGAAAAAAACATAGTCAACATCGAAGTACTAACTAATAATAAAAAAATAACAGCACCTCATGAGTGTAAAATAAAAACAGACTCAAAGTATGACTGCTGTCTCTTCACTCTGTCAAAATAACTGTACATAAGATCGACAAGATGGCATAAAAAAAATGTCTGCTTCCGGGTCACACCAGCCTCACTCAGTCTTATAAAAGTTGGATTTAAATGTCTCGTTGACCACCACCGCTGAAGTTGTTCCCTCATTCCCATGTAAAGTTTCCACCATCCACCCCGGCTAATGTCCCACTTTTAACATGAACACACATTCACTCCGACACTCATCTCTCCATGCTCTTTTCAGTAATTATGTATCCAAATCAAAGACATTGGAGGCTTCCTGTTCATATTTCGCCGGACTCTCGCTCCTCGGAGCTGGAACGCCGGTCCCGTTCTAAGGACAGGGATCTCTCTCGTTCCCTCTCGTTCCTGGCTGTGTCTACGGTGGGGGGGGACTTCTCCCTGTCTTCCCACTCGCCGCTCTCTGCCTTGTCCTCACGCCAACCCTCCACCGCTGCACCCTCTCTCCCCTTGTCCTGGGACGGCGAGGGCTCTCCGTCGCGAGTGTGAGATGACCTTTCTCTGGAAGACCTGAGGAGAAACCAACAGCCGCAGATTGATCAACCTCAAAAAAATAATTCATGTTTTCAAAATTAAACTTGCAATATGTATTTTCATCCGAGGGAAGACAACTATACGACATGACGTCTGCTATCACTCGTTACATCAGAATCATAATCGAACTCTTATTTATCCCAGAGAAAATGTGTTTTGTGACAGTTGTTCCATTCTATATTTAAATAAAAATGAATTGGAATTAGGTAAAAATGAGGGCGTGAATGATGACTTTTAAATGTAAAGCACTTTGATGAGTCATAAAGACCGGAGACAGCTCTACATAAAAGACAGTCCGTTTACCATTTACTGTTAGTTAAGTAGGTCCTAACCTGGTGATGCTTTATTTAAGTTTCAGTGATGAATAAAAAGCCACACCTCTTCCTTTTGCTCCTGTGAGAGTGGGAGCGTGAGCGATGCCGCTCCTTGTGTCGATGTTTCCTCTCTCGATCCCGATCGCCACTCCGTTCCCCGGCCCGATCTCCACTGCGATCCACGGCCCGCTCTCCACTGCGATCCACGGCCCGCTCTCCACTGCGATCCACGGCCCGCTCTCCACTCCGTTCCACGGCCCGCTCTCCACTGCGATCCACGGCCCGCTCTCCACTGCGATCCACGGCCCGCTCTCCACTGCGATCCACGGCCCGCTCTCCACTGCGATCCACGGCCCGCTCTGCACTGCGATCCACGGCCCGCTCTGCACTGCGATCCACGGCCCGCTCTGCACTGCGATCCACGGCCCGCTCTCCACTGCGATCCACGGCCCGCTCTCCACTGCGATCCACGGCCCGCTCTCCACTGCGATCCACGGCCCGCTCTCCACTGCGATCCACGGCCCGCTCTCCACTGCGATCCACGGCCCGCTCTCCACTGCGATCCACGGCCCGCTCTCCAGCTTCTTCTCTGGAGCGAGAGGAGCGGTGGCGTCTTGAATGGTGTGAGGACGAAGTTCCCCCGTCCCTGGAAAAAATATTTCGATTAATAAAACTGATGTAAAAAAACAAAAACAAACATAAATTGCCGTAAGCTATCGATTCTCAGATAAGAGCATCCCGATAGATCTCCTCTTGATTTTAATTAAGTTGGTTGATTCTGGCCTTCACAATAGCTGGAGTCATTAAAGACACGTTGGCACTTCTATTAATTTAACAATGATTATGTTTGTATTTTGTTCGTGGCCATTGTGGTCTTAATGTCAGAGAAGGAAACCCAGAAATGTATTTCTTTCATGTCCAACAATCCTGCTCAAACTTTGATATGTGTGCCGTTACACCTCATGCATCAGATCCGTGTCAACCTCTGAACTGTGTACTGATCACTTTATACGTTTTTTAAAATGTGTATTATTGATTGTGGTCCAAATAGACATACCTGTAGCGTTCTCCACTTCTAGATCTCGACCTAAGACGGATAGGAAAACAAATCAGTTAGTTTCCAGCTGACACTGAATAGTTTATGTCTAAGCTATATGGTTGTAACACAACACCAATTAATAAAAAAGGTTTCTGCATTTGTTTTTAAATTCCTTAAAAGATAATTTAACTGATGACAGTAATGATAATAATAATTCCTGATTTTCTGAGATGATTATCATAGTGTCAATTTCATGCCATGACGACTCCAGTAAGCAGCACCAATGGACGTTTTTCCCACCTTCTCCGCTCCTTCTCCCTTTCTCTCTCCCAGGTTTGCTCTCGTTCCTGCTCCCGCTCTTTTTCCCGCTCCACCTCCCACTCGCGCTCTTTTTCGTCATCTTTTTCACGTTCCTCTCGTCTTCTTGTCCGCATTCTTTCTTGTTTCTCTATTACGGCTTTCTGGAATTAAACAAAAAAAAATAGCACATACATAAAATGAATACCAGCAGCTAACGATGTTCTATGTTAGCTATAACACAAATAATGTAACATAACTGAGGGTTCTTATTTAAAAAAAATCAAGTGGGTTAGTTAAGTAGTCATATGCATGCTAGCTCCAGTGCCCTTACCCTAAGCTTTTCAAGCTTCTCACGGATTTCTATGAAGCCGATGTGCAGTTTGCCCCCAAAGTGGTCAGCTAGACGACGATCGTTGTCGTGAAGACCGAGGTACGCAGAGCACACCTCGCACACCCTGAGTTTCTGTTGTTGAAAGCTGGAGGCTGGCATCGAGTTTCTGTAGACATCCTGAAACAACAAAACATTGTGAGACTGGGGAGCATAGAAAAGAATAATCTAACAAAAGACACAGCATAAAGACACTAGAGATTTTAATTTGCATTTCATCATGCCTAAATTATAAAGATTGGACTTCATTGTAAGCTTTGTTGTGGTATATGACACGTATTAAAAAGTCACTCCTTTACAACTAAAAACATTGATTTCTGGAGTTACCAATTTTCGGAAACCTATTTGAGTTACCGTTTAGTAAAAAAACGGGACAACGGGTCACTTAAGACTAAAAATCATTGTTTAACCTGCGCCTCTCAGTCTCACCGGAGCTCACTCCTGTTGGCACTAATGGTGCAAAGATTCCTTTTGAGAGAACAACTGACAAGTAGGGATGCTCCGATTGACCGGCCGATACTCACTCTCTGCCGATCGATCGGTGCTCTCTAAAAATGCCTATCGCGAGACCCGATCGCATGACGTAAAATACATGACACTTTTCTCTGTGCGCGGCAAGACAAGCTCGCCAAAATGGCTTCACCGGTCTGGCAGTATTTTATGGTGTCCGAAAATGACAGTAAAATAGCGGTATGCAACGTGTGTGAAGCAGAAATCCTGCAGCTCCACCCGCTGTGACGGACCGGTGAGCGGAGCAAAACACACACTAATGGCGCATTTCCACTACAGGGCCTCGCTCAGCCTCGCTCGGTATGGCTAGGCCTCGTTAGGCCTTGTTAGGACTGGCTCACTTAATGCTGTGTTTCCATTACAGTTTAGTAGCTGGGGCAGTAACTATAGTAACGCAGTGTCACACTCTGGAACTCCCTCCCCAGCCATGTCAGATCCGCCAACACTCTCACATCATTCAAACAATTCCTCAAAACTCACCTTTTCACTCTTGCCTTCAATTCCTAATCAACTAACCCCTTGCCCTTATTTCTCCTAGCTTAGCACTTTCTACTTTTGTTGTTATTTTGTTTTACTTGCTTGTAAGCGCTTTGAGCACCAGGAAAAGCGCTTTATAAATGGAATGTATTATTATTATTATTAGTGTAGGCCAGTGGTTCTCAAACTTTTTCGGTCGGGCCCCCCCAACACAAATAGTCAGGCTCAGTGGCGGCGCCAGAGATTTCTTTTGGGGGTGCTGTGGGGTAGCTTGACCTTTCATAGAGTGTGCTCAAACATTTAGGGTTTCCCATTAATGTACCGGTCGCTACAGTGGAATTTTCTACTGCAACACTCCCCACGCACATACACTATGTACCCGCGACTGTTACAATGAAGGCTCGATATCAAGTCTCGGCATATAGGTGTAAGCAGGGGTAAAGTGCTATTTTTATAGGTGATGTGTGGACCTCACATAGGGGGGTCCAGGGGCATGCTCCCCCGGGAAGATTTTTAAATATTGAAGTTAAAAGCATCAATCTGGTGCACTTTGAGAGCAAAATGAAGAGATCTATGGATACATCTCTCAACACCCAGATGAAACAGAATTGTAAACAGATTTACTATTTCTTTATGGATATTTTATAAATCACTCTTTTAAACTTTATTCTTGTTTTACTGTCATATAGTATTTCATAGCTGTTTTTCATGTATTCTCTTATTTTTTTATAACTATAATGATCATATAAACGTGTGCCTCGGAAATAATTGTTTACATTAATGGTGACCAAAACGTTTGAGACCCACTGAGATAACACTGAGAGTCCTTTAGCTCACTGAGACTCTCAGTCTGACAGGAGAGGACTCTCCTCCACTTTGTTGTTAAAAAAACTCCTTATATCCGTTAGCGTAGCTCGCTAGCACCAGAAGCTAACATCAACGATCTCCGGTACCGGTGCGCTATCTCTCTCTCTCGCTCACGCACGCACGCACACAAAATGGCTCGTTCCACACACACACACACACACACACACACACACACACAGAGCCGAGCTTTAATGAAACACAGAGACCCAGACGTAATAGTACTGTATCATATTATTTTCGAATCAATAATTTTTCAAAATATGATTTTTTTTTTTTTTTTAAATCTTTTTTTTTAAATTTATAACCATTTTTCCTCCTGGTCTCTCGCGCCCCCCCTGTCATGCCTCTGCGCCCCCCTGGGGGGGCGCGCCCCCCACTTTGAGAACCACTGGTGTAGGCGGAGCCGTGACGTCATCTTCAATGAGAACCACAGAAAAATGCAATAATCAGCCGTTAGACAAAAGTTAAACAAGTACAAACCACAGACTGTTTGTGTCATGGCGAATACAGTCGCTGGTTTATTTATGTCAGTATAGGCCCTTGTTGTGAGTGTGGACGGTCGGAGCATATAAAAAGTTAGCTTAGCCGATCTCCATTCAGAAAACACACATTTTAAAAAGGGTTTTCGCCTGCCGTTTGTCTGCAGACTTGTCAAAGCATTAATTCATGGTTTTTACTAACCGGTATCAGTATGTTGTTACTTCGGCATCATTTTGAAACGTGTATTACAATTAAATCACGGTCAAATATGTTAATTTTATTGTAGTTGTAGCCCCCTTGCCAGCGATTATCTCTCTCTAGTTTAGAATACTCAGCCCGACTCAGCCTGTTTGTTGGCCCGGAAAGAACCTCGATTTTATGGGGCCAGAAAAACTGTGAAATAGTACCCACTAGCCGGAACTACGCCAAGTGGAAACGCAACCAAAAACGGGCCGGGCACGGCACGGCACGGCACGCTTAAAGCGAGCTCCGCGCTGTAGTGGAAATGCGCCATAAGAGTTAGACCTTACACAATTAGCTATTTTATCTACCTCTGGAACAAGCTAAACTAATTATAAATATATTTATTCTTCACTGTCGGTAGGGTTGGGAACCGAAACTCGGTTCCAGATGAGAACCGATAAGAAAATGCCAGGTACCCATACAAAATACACAATTTCGGTTCTGCTTAACGGTTCCTAAACGCGGTAGACCCTGTATTCCACCGGGCCGTCTGCACCGCGGTGGAATACAGGGTAAGGGTGGACTGGCCATCTGTGTGTTCTGGAGAATCACAGAACGGCCGGTCTTCAGCGGGCCGTTGACGGCCGGCTCGGTACGCTGACGGCCGGCACCGCCCTTAATTTTTTTAAATGGCATCATGTAAGTTACGCTGACAGCGAGGCTCCCCGCCCTCCCGTAGACAGTTCACGAGCTCAGTCACATCATAACACCAAAGATGGATCGCAGTAAACGCTCTAAAGTGAGGCTCCACTACACTAAAAAATAAAAAGACAAGGCACAGTGTAATGCCTGTTAACAGCTTGCCACAGGTATAGCTCAGTTAAAATAAAGCACAGCTTTTGTGCAATACATTTGTATTGCATGTATATTTTTTATTTGGAAAAATGTCGGTTAAAGCTTAAAAGAATAAAGATATTTTTATTATCTAAACCAGTGGTTCTCAACCTTTTAACACCAAGTACCACCTGAGAAAATAGTTGGCTCTCCAAGTACCACCATATGACCAATGTTAAAATACAGTCTATGCACAGTTCATGCAGGACTAGGAGGCAAATGTATTCATAATAACATTATTTATTGTTCTCTCTCTCTCTCACACCACAAGTGAGAATATAAAGAAAAAATCATAACTTATTCTCACACAACAAATGTCAACTGTACACACATGTCATGTAGGCCTCCTGCAACAACCCACATCGTAACAGAAAATGTCCTATTGGGAATTCAGTTCCACAATAATAATGAAGCCTCCAGGAGCAGATGAGCCTAAGGGCTAATAGCTCATCTTCTCTCCATTCTTTGAGCAAATGCCTCACTTCTCTCCTCTATCACAGCGTTGTGGCTGTGCATATCACTTTTGCGTTGCTGGCGGAGCCTGCGCTTGTGCTCGGTTGATGACTGTCCTCCTCCTCATTCACTTGTTCACTTTCGCTGGTAATATTCTCCTCTGTACCTCTCTTCTGAATACCTCCCGTTTTGAGCCACGTTTTTAACATCATTCATTACATTACATTGCATTTAGCTGACGCTTTTATCCAAAGCGACTTACAATAAGTACATTCGACCAGGAAGACACAACCTTGAAGAAAACAGAATCATATAAGTACATCAGCTTTCATAGAGCCAAACATTTCAAGTGCTACTCAACTGGCTTTAGATAAGCCAGTCCTTTATCAGTATAAAAGTGCTTCGTTAAAAGTTCTATCGCTCGAAGTGGAGTTGAAAGAGATGAGTTTTCAGTCTGCGCCGGAAGATGTGCAAGCTATCTGCTGTCCTGATGTCAATGGGGAGCTCATTCCACCATCCTGGAGCCAGAACAGCAAACCCACGTGTTTTTGCCGATGGGAACTTGGGTCCCCCTCGCAGCGAGGGTGCAGCGAGTCGTTTGGCTGATGCAGAGCGTAGTGCACGCTCAGCTTTCTTCTTTCTTTAGCTTGCTTGCAACGTTCGCGGGTAGTAAGGTCGTAATTAGCAACGCCAGAAATAAATAAAAAAAATGTTTTCGTTTCTAAATCTAAAAACAACAATAGCCTATTAGAACTAATTTAAACCAGTTTCAATTATCTCAAAAATACTGAAACGAATGAAAATAAGCTTGATAGTATGATTTATTTTGTAATTAATGTTATTCAATCAAGCCTCAAACTGATGTCACTTGTCCCTATAACCTGTTTTAAATTGAAGTTGTCTGAGGTCCTTACCATCAGCGGCTCTTGCAGTAATAAGTAGTGTACCTTAATGTCCCAAATGTGCACAATATGTGTCAATATACTGCTTTTCGTTTTTTTGTTTACTTAGTTGTGCTTCCTGTATTTTATATGTCTGTGTTATGTGTAAAGGTTAAATGTGGGGTAGGTAAGTTTGAGAAACCGGCTCGAGATACACTTTTTGTTATATTCCATGGAATGCTCTTAACATCCCGATAGCAATGAATGAATATATATATATATATATATATATATATATGCTATATGCTTTGACAAAAAATCCATTAAAAAATGTCATCTGTGGAAGCCGTAGCGCTGTAAAAAGCATGACCAATCATTTTAGCCGGCCCGGCTAAAATAACTGGATGGCCTACCTGCCTTCCACCTGTGCACAAACTTATCTCGTGCCCTCATTGGTCACGTTCGTGTGTGTTGGAAGAGGGGCTCTGTATGGAAGTGGCAGATTTTTTCCGGTTGTGTATTTTCAAATTCTAGCTCACTCGAGCTGGTTTCTCCAAAATTACCTACCCCACCTTTAAATACAATTTATATAATAAAAATATATAATAACTCCACGTACCACTAGCGGGAGCTGGCGTACCACCGTTTGACCTATTTATTTTACAATTTTGGAATTGAAACGGGGAATCAATAAGAACCAGAATCGATAAGCAGAACCAGAATCGGAATCGATACATTTCAAACGATACCCATCCCTACTGTCGGGTCCCTCATTACTGGATCAGTGAGCTGCATGAGACGATACTGACAGACTGTCAGGGGAGAGAGAGGGAGGGGGAGAGAGGAAAAGAGAGCGCTTCCGCTCATTTCTCCCGTGTTGTTATCCAAAGTTAATGTAAACTTGAATAATGCACTTCATTTGAATGTAATAATTATGTTAGTTGTTGTTTGTGGAAGCGCAAGTGAATGAGCCCCATTAACTGAGTTTTAAACATCACTTTGAATGGAAGATCCCCATAGCCCCCTGCCCACTCCCAAAATAATTATTTGTTTGGAGAGTTGTTATTGCAATTCCCGCTGGACACAACGTTCCAGAGAGGGAGAAAGGAAGATAGTGAGTGTGTGTATTAGAGAGAGACAAACACATTCACGCCTACAGTCCACTGAACGTGTTTGTTTTGCTGAAAGAATGTCATGATTGATAAGATAACAGACGTCCCTTATCTGTAAAGAGTAATGGTGGATATAAGTCCTGCTGTGGGTTTCTATACAGAGATGATTTGATGGGTTTGGATGAGTCATGCAGCTTCAGTCCGCAGCAGGATGGAGAGAAAGATCAACGATGTGCAGCGAGAGCACACAGAGAAAGTTCTCTTATTATTAATTAATGTCAATTTTAAATGTAAACACATTGCTAGAGTTTGATCTGTTTAAGTTATAGTACATATTTTAGGAGTGATTCATTATTGTTTCATTGAATAGTTTTTGAATTTCAGAAAATGTTTTCTTTTAATACCAGAATGTTATATAGCACTTAAATGCACTGGGTATTAAATGAAGATTTTTCTAAAAACCTTTACTTTTTAAAGAGACATCTTTTTTTCTCCTTTTGCATAATTGCTTTTTTAATAATCAATTACAGCAATAAACTAGTCACAATAAAGCAGTTATTATCTCTCTGACCTCTGCTTCTTTCTTTAAGCCGCGGGTCTTCTCCACCATTTCCAGCACCTCCTGGGCTTCGTCTACGTTGCCTTCGCCCCCTAGCTGCTCCGCCCGGGCCAGCAGCTTCCCGATCTCTTCGTTCAGCTCGTGGACGCGTTCAGCCTTTTTTTATAGCAGCAGGAGAAACAGAGAAATAACTGAATTGCTGTTGTGAGAAATAATTGTAAAAGATACTCATTGCAAAGAGCACTGCATTCACAAAGACCTGATAAAGATCTCATGATCAATGTCATCAGTGGGTTTGTCACCTTTGCAGCCACTTCAGCGCTGATCTCATCCTGCGTCTCCACTAGTCTCTTCTTAGCCAGCTCAGTCCTGCGGTCGCAGTCAGCGATGAAGGACTGAAGATGTTCTGCAGCCTGGGAAACAACACAGATACTGTTCAAATAAATGGGTCTTCATTTGTGTAAAAAAAAAAATGGAATAAACTCTGGCACGTCCAGCTGGGAAGAGACCAAGGGGTAGACCTAGGACCAGGTGGAGGGATTATATCTCTTCGCTGGCCTGGGAGCGCCTTGGGATCCCCCAGTCAGAGCTGGTTGATGTCGCCAGGGAAAAGAAAGTTTGGGGCTCTCTGCTGGAACTGCTACCCCCGCGACCCGACCACGGATAAGCGGGAGTGGATGGATGGATGGATGGATGGATGGATGGAATAAACTCTACTTAGGTAACCTAAAACCTCCTTTAAAGAAAATGTGGATATGCTGCATTCAAAAGTCAGCAATACTTTTTAGAATGTGTACTATTAGCTGAGACTATTCAAGTATACGTACAGTTACTACATGCTATTACAATCTGGTTTATCTGCTGTGCTCCCACTGCCCACTCCTCCTTTTAATTATCTTCATTTTTTTTATGCAGTCAATCTTAACTCAACAACAGAAATTAGAAAACAAACGTTAACATTCTTGTAAATGAAAGAGGCAAAAATAAAAAGCCAGAGTTGTTCACTTATTACTTAAATAGTAATGCTAAATAACACAAGTTTGTCACAGACGACAGTACAATCTGGGAATCATTAAACAACATTTAATCTTTAAACTAGTCCAATGTGTCAATTTTCTTAACAAAAACTCTGCTCCCACAGAGTTTACAATCACTGTAAGACAGCTTTGCTTTCAGCATGATCTGCTGTTTTGGAAAAGCATCTAGGAATTGACTGTGTTGGGTGGAAGCAACTATAACTGCGACATCAACTACTGCTGCTTTCAGCTTCAAATGATGGTATGTGTATTACTCACATCAAGTTCAAAGAAGTACTCCTGCTCCTTAGAAGCGATCTCGTAGTCTGCTCTCAGGGCCAAGTCATGGACCTTCATACACTCTCCCAGGTCCATTCTCTGCAGAAATCAGAAGGAAAAAGCCATGCACCGTGTTTGTACGCGTCGTCATTTCACTTGGCTAAGATTTCTCATGCTGATAATTCCCTGAGGTCTTAAAACAAATAAAAAGCATTGCATAAGGGAAAACTTTTGAATCCCAGTGCTGTAGGGCTACATCTTTGACACAGACTGAATTTGTTTAGCTTTATACTCCTGCATATGTGTTGACATTCGATTCATTTAAAGTTTGAGGGTTTAAGGTACAGAAAGATATTGGACAAGCTAAAAGTTACATCCAACTTTACAACCTTCTAGTATTGCAGATTTCTTCCCTTTTCACTTTCGGGGCCTTTGACCTTCAATATGAAGTGAAACATTGGCATTAAGGTCATATGAAAAGAGTCATGATCATCAATCTTGATTACGTGCTATAATGACATGCTACTTGATCCTGAAATTAAACGAGACTTTATACAAATATGACTCCTACACTGCTCACACAATATACATGTGTGCACGCTAAAACTCAGACTGCACGTAGAGCTTGTAGGCATTGTGTCATTTTAGGTTAAATGAGCTGGATTAGAACACATATCAATGGCAGCCCTAATACTTTCATCACAGTGTTTATTATATTGCACTTTGTGTATCTTTATTTATATAGCACATTTAAAACAACCTTCAGTTGACCATGCGTTTTAACATGATACTCACAGTGCCAGACAGTATATCATGGGGGCATGAATCCAGGAGGTGACTTTTGCAGACTCGCTCATCTGAGAACTTGATTCTCTGCCGCATGGAATCTCCTTTAAAAAAACAACAACACAAAAGCAAAAAGACGTGTTTAGTTTTCAGTCAGCCCACAAACCACAACACCATAAGTAGAGCATCTACGACTCGCAATGAATGAGTCAAACATATGTTAACAGCTAATCCTAAAAGTTAGGTGCTCATATAGATGAATAAAGGATAACATCTAGTGGAAAAAAGAGAGACCACTGACTGTGATCAGCTCTTAAAACGTGTTTTGTACTATACGATAATACTCTATTGTCAGATCGAGACTGAAAGGTTTCTTCAATCACATCAGCTCCATTTGCAACATCAACAAGGACAACATATTTTACACAGTATACTATGAAACAGACTTTTTTTTTTACACGCTCGAGACATTACACCGTACATTTGACCTGGGATGTAACTCTGTTGTTGAAGATATGGGCAACAACCTAACTTGCCATGCACACTGACACACAACAGGTAGCTAGCCGGTTAGCTATCCTCATGTTAGCTAGCGTGGTTTGCAGAGCATGCCTCACTGTCACTGACATCGGTTAGCTCCCCGGCTAATGCTAGCATCAACACACTGATCCGAAACCCCGCTCCCCCGCAGCGGCTCACCGTCTCTCCCCGTCCCCATGAGCTGGTCCAGCATCGCTCTCATCTGAGCCTGGGCCGACATGTTTCTGCAGGTTTAGCTAACTCCCAGGCAGCGACACACTTCACACATGCAGCCTCCTGACTACAGGCCTCGCGGCTCCACCACAGACCGCCGAGCCTCGTACAACTTTTCCCCACGAGGAGGAACAGCCCGAATCCCGCTGGTGTGTATGTGTGTTTATATGTGTGTGTGTCTGTGTGTGGTTTCCGTTATAACAATGTTCCGGTTATCACAACACTTTCACAGCAGCTAAATGTGACTTTGTGACGCGGGACGGCTCCGGGTCGTCTGTTTGAAAACTGCTGGAGTCCCGTGTCGGTGAGTGGAGGTGTTAGCAGAGTAAAGCTCAGATATCTTTGCGCAGACAGGCCGGTGGGTGAGCTAACAGAATATCTGTGTAGAAATAAGTAAACAGTTCTTCTGTAACATAACAGTTCTCTGACTGTGTTTCTAGCTGCTCGGCTAGAAGTTGGCAAGTTTATTCAACGTCCTTTCTTCCGCCTTTCCACTTCCCTCCCGTGCGCGTCTCCGCGGAGCGCGCTCTAGTCCCTCCCCCCGCCTCGAGGAAGTGCTGCAGTCAGCCTCGCGCACATCGATGGTATGGTGACGTTTCACCTCTTGGAAAAAGATGTTTATGATAAGAAAGATGTTGATGGTAAAATAGTGTATTTGCAATTTTTGTTTTATTTATTTATTTTATGTATTAATTACTACATTTACAAATGCTAATGGCCAAAAAGAAACAACATCACAACTCAAAATAGATCTCACATTGTTGACACATTACAGGGACTGAGGAATAGCAGTATACGTAAAACAGAAGACATTAATGTTTTAAATAATGTTATTTTATTTAATGTCCTAATGCGTTCTTTAAATATAATAGAAATGGCGGTATATGCCTTTGTAGTCTTGAAGTAAAGTCATGATGGAAGTATTTGAATATCCTACATCCAACACAATAATAGTTACTCGGGTGGATTATTTATTGATTAAAATCATCATACACACATCTAAATGGACTGGCAAAGTCAACACTTAATATTTATTATGAAGAACAAAAAACGTAGAAGATTTTCAACGCACCTGATTTAATTATAGTTTTGATTAGTTGCAATGCTTCACTTTTGCTGTTATTTCTATTTGTTGTTGATAAATAATATTTGTAAAATAAAATAAATTAACATACTTTTTGTTTGTGAAAATATATGACCTATCATAAGAGAAAATGTTTTAATATCGAACTGAAAATCCCACAATATTGTCACATGCGCATTCAATGTCACTTTTTAACCTTACAAACGCAGAAGAGGCATTCCTCTTCTTCACACGAAATTAATACAAAAATAATGAATTGTTTGAATTAGATTTCCTAAACATCTAGTCAATATCATGGGTCAAGAAGACCGTCAAGACGCGTAGATAAGAGTCAACCAAGTCCCGCCCACAACGTCCCACCCTATCTATCACATTACTGGGAAAAATGGCGTCAAGTGCACTGCGGCTGCGACTTTTCACCCAAAATGCGGGTAAAATTAGCCGCAACGTCGGGTCGAAAACATCCAACATATCCAGGTCGACTCAGAGCAGGACCTTAGTATCAACGTCGTCGGGGGCAATCTTACCGAAACCGGAAAAAGTGAGTTTTATTCTGCTTTGGTTACCGAGTGAAAAACCAGCAAAAATATGACTGACAGTGTAGGCGGGACTTCAGTTTGGATTGACAGCAGCTGTAGCCAATTGAAAGACAGAACACACGCTGAGTTCGACCTGTCAGCCAATGACTGCATGTTTATACGACGTGCATTCAGGAAGTAATTACCCCTTATTTGTTTAGCCATTTCAATGGACATATTATGTAAGACATTTAAATAAAGTGCAAATGTAACCATTTGCCTCTGATAATATATTGTGTTTCAGTTGTATTGGAACTACACATCTAGTGTGCCATGTTGTCAAGGCAAGAAAGGTCGAGTACAGTGAAGCATGAGGCAGTAGCCTAGGGCCAAATTAAAAGGAATATCGCCAGAGACAACTGAGGAGACAACTGGATCCCACTGTCTCACAGCTGCTAGACAATCTGCTCATATTTAAGGCAATATCCTGTGCCTGTGATTAGTCAATCCTTTGTACCTGTAACTCTAGAATAGATATTAGATATTTGTGTTGGACTTTCATTATAAACCCTTGTCTATAATCCCAAATCTGGACCAAAATACCATAGAGCAGAATGAGGGGATTGGTTTTGTTAGAATAGCTTGTGTCCCGGACGCCTTACATAAACTCTTAATTGTCATGTCACTTGACTATACCTCATTATGTTTCCAGACACCATTTGGTCTTATTCGCATGACAGCCGTTGTGGTGCCTTTCTTGTACGTTGGAACTCTGATCAGCAAGAACTTTGCGGCTCTCCTGGAGGAGCATGACATCTTCGTCCCTGAAGACGATGATGACGATGACTGAGCTAACTCCAAACAATAAAAGGTCAAATCAAAGTGTACATTTACCACACCTACCTCACTGTAGCTTGGGCATTTCATGCACAATCTTGTCCATGTGTTAAGGGTGTGTAAACTAAATGTCAAAGGGTGTAGTTTGTGGCATACTTGCAACATTGACAATGAGGTAACAATAGAAAGCTCATGGCAGATAATTAATTTTACATTTACATCCACAGGGTGCTTTGCAATACTGACTGAGAGCAAACCAGCCGGCACAAGGAAGATGGGGAAGATGGGGCACACCCTAATATATCCCTCCACCTCCACCCATCTCCTCCCTCTTTCCTCTGCTATTTGTTGCTTTCGCCATATTATTTTTTTAAATCTCATATCATGTGAGGCTATCAAAACTACCAGTTATGCCTTCACTCTTGTTTGCATGTTTTTCTGTTAACTCAATAAAGGGAGTCAAAAACATATGGATAAACAATTGTTATTTTTTTATTCTGTGGGCAGTGGTTTCCAAGTACACAATAGTTCTCATTCTGACTCTTCGAAGTCCATCCATTCACAACAGCAAATTCTGTCATAGCAATGTAATGGTTTTATTGCGGTATTTTGTAAATATAGTATGTTGGCTTGTTGTCATTGTTCTTCAAGGTACGTTTTTTAAAAGCTGTCCACATGGGTTAAGTTTGTCTTGCTCCCTCCTGAACTGCAGCGTTAGCCAGTCTCAAGTGTTCGTTGAGGGAGCCCGTCTCCAGCTGGCTGCGACCCCTCATGTCACTCAGCTCCACGTAGGCCTCCTTATAACGCTCGTAAGATGCTTCTTTCTCCTAAAGAGAGGAGGTAGGAACAAATATGGTAGACAAATCAAAGTCAGGCAGGTATGACAGTTGTCGATGTTCAACATGAAGAAGTTTATTATTTTGGAGATTGGATCATAAAACATACCTTTGTAAGGGACTGCACTTCATTCTGCAGACAGATGATTTCTTTTTTAAGATACTGCACCTCATTGTCTTTTGCTCTTAGTAATGTCTGAAAGACAAAAGGATATTTGGCTATAATAGTTAAAAATATATACAATATTCACATATTTATTGGAAGTCAGAATGTGTATTGGAAAGTAGTGGTTTGTAACTAAGTAAATCACACAGTTGAAACACTTAAGTACCATTTTAAGTTACTACTTCTTACTTTGTGAGCTTTACTTTTTATACTTCACTCCAGTACATTTCAGAGGGAATATTCAGCTTTTACATACAAGACCTATGTTCATGTTATAAAATATGATGCATACTTGTAGATAAAACTACCCAGCACCTGTAGTTAAAAGTAGTTCTGCTGAATTGCGGGCAGTAGATGGCAGTATGCGCTGCAATAAAATGTGACCAGCCACAGATGCTCAACACAAATGAGGCCAACAGAAAAGAAAAAAAGAATGGATGAAATGTAGCTGAAGGAAGGCATTACTGGGTACATCAGACAAACAGTCCAATTGCATTAATCAATTTGCTTTCTTTAAAGTGTTTTCAAAGGTCCAACGCAAATTGGTCAAATGTATTTTTGTCTGCTTCCCTATGATGCCAGCCATGTCAACATTAGTCCTTCAAGCCGAGTTGGAATGCAGCTTTTAAACAACAGTATACAGGTTTAACCTACTTTTATATGAGTTTACATTAGGTAGGATCTAAATTAGTCACAAATGTATTGCTATCAATACCTCTACTTCTGACGCAGTGCGCTCAGTGTTGCCAAGAGATACCGTTGTGTCCGACCTCTGGCCTGTGATGAAACGGCGCATGCGGCTGATCTCTTCTGCCAGTTTGACCTTAAGCTCCTGAAAAGAGATTTTAATCTCAAATTATTACATTGGGATGTCATGTGAACAAGTAGCTTCCTTTTAGTTTAACCCTTTGTAAATAAGAAACAAAGAGATTTTGATTGATATTACTTATAATATTCTATGGAAACAATTTAAATGTAGCCTGCATGTAAACCTGGTTCTCTCTTCTGAGCTGCTCCATCTCTCTTTCCTTGCGTCCGAGCTCGATCTCTCGGCCCTGGCCGTTCTGCTCCGTGCGACTGAGCTCCAAGCACTTCTGAGAGTAACGCTCTGACAGCACGTCCAACTCACCGTGCAAAATGTCCGCCTGCGGCCTGACGTACACAAACACACAAGTTATGGAGTAAATTATAATGCACTGTCATGCAGGGGTCACAGTCTAGTGTAGAACATCTCAAGCCGGCAGCGAGAGCCTGTGAGAAGGAGAACACTAAGCATGATAACAAAGTGACTATAATAAACTCACATGTGGCCTCTGTGTGAAGCATCCATGTGTGCAGCTCCTCCGGCCAGCCTCCTGGCCTTCTCCACCTCTCTCTCCAGATCCTCCCTGTGAGCAGCTCGCAGTGACTCCATGGCTGTGATGATGAATGATTTGTTAACTTGTCATTTAAACTGCAAATCAACATGATTTTAAAAGTAATTATTGAGAAGTTGTATTTATTTAACAAAGGAGGCATACTGAATAAAGCTGTCCGTTGCTTCACTTCCTGCCCTACCTCTAGCGGCCGCCTGGCTCTCCTCCTGCAGCATCCTGTCTCTCTGCTCCTCCAGCTCCTTAATCTCCCTCGCATGTTTCTCCTGCAGCTCCTGAAGTGTTTTCTGATGGGCGGCCTCCATGGCCTCAAGTCTGGCCCTGCAGGGGGGCCCGGGGCCACAGGGGCTGTCCGCCTCTATCCTCATGGCTGCACGCTCCCTCTTAATGCTCTCCACTTGCTCTCGAAGAGAAAGGGCCTGTGAGATAATTATGTATTAGAAGAAGATTGAGATGCATTTTGAGAAAATTGGCAAATGCTAATGAATCTTTGTTCCATTATGCAAATATTAGTAGTTGTTCATGGAGTTAAGCAGAAGGCGGCTCCAATTCTACAGTCAGACAACATCAGGTACTAGGGGAACAACTAGATGACCTAATTCAAAGATAATTAAATTGTTTATGTGAGGGAGAGTTATCATACGTTTTGGTCATTTCCACTCAAGTTCTTTAAGCGCATATTGTGAATAATCATAAAAGCAGGTGGATGGAAACTTTCTTACCTCTTTCTGTAGCGCTTCTGCTTTATTAGTTTGAATTTCTTGGGCTCCATTTATGGATGGAAGAGCCTCCTTTGAGCTCAATATATCAGTTTGTGAACTGGTGGCTGACTGTTCGACCTCTTCGGGGCTCGATTGATGCGCCTGGGCTGTGCTCGACTGATGAGCCTGGGCTCCAATGAGAGCCTGCGCATCTCTAAATGACAGCGCTTCTAATTCCACCCACTTCCTGTTGACCTCTGAGTCCAAGGTTTCAATGACAGGCACAGGTACACTCCCCCTTTTGAGCTCCATGGCGTCCCACCTGCTGCTCATCTCACTGAAGGGGACCCCCTCCTCAAACCACTTGTTCCTCTCCTCCAATCGCTTGGCCTGTTCTCGGTCCCAGCCCTCCCCTTCCTCTCTCTGACTGGATGGAGAAACGTCCAGATCCCCCTCTATTGTCTCAAGGAGGTGCTCGGCCTTATGGGAGTTTGCAGCCCTGGCGTTGGAGGTGGAAGTGGTCGCTTCATAGCCGGAGTCCCTGCAGGTGAACTGAGCAGAGGGTTGGCATGACGACGGTCTCCGGGAGAGGGGGTTCTCTTTCTTTCTGCCGTCGTCTGATTGGCTGTGTTCAGAGTGAGGCAAAGACAGACAGGCAGGTAGAGTTACACATCAGAGGAAAGATGATAGAGGGGGTTTGCTGCAGGCGGACCACCCAATCACATTGTCTGCATGATCTCACTGTGTTCAGGAATTTCCAGGTCAATGAGCAGATTAGATTCAGGATTTGAGCACATCTTTGCTGGAAAAACATGATTACCATCAAGAATTCACTATGACAGACTTCCTGTTTTGTTGTTGGCATCACTACTTTTGATTAATTATTTGTATTAACAAGTTATGTATATTATATATTGTAGTTATTTATATTGTAAAGTGGGGCATTCTTATAGTTATAGTAAAGTAAGAGGCTATTGATGTAAGATGTTATGAAGCTCCCAAACAGTATATTAAATTCTTCAAATAAGCTCCAACATTCAAAAACTATAAAGTGAAATGCTGCCTACATTTTTAGGTATCATCAATAACCTTATTACTTAATATATAATATGTTAACTTTGATCTGCCTTGAGTACTTTTGGATTGAACTTTTAAGTACATGTAGCAAATAACACCTATTTTACCTTTTCCATTGCAGTACTTTTTCTTGTAACTGAGTATTTTATCAGTGTGGTATTGCTACTTAAGTCTGGTCAAGGATCTGAAAACTTCACCACTGTCTCTTAGTATAAAGTCGGACTCACTGCGCGTTGTTCTGGATCGCCTGTTTTAGTAACTTTATCCAGTTCCGCCGTATCCTTGAGGTCATAACAGAGAGAGTGAACACTGCTCTCTTTGTCTGGAGGAGATCAAAAGACACACACACACACACACACACACACACACACACACACACTGTTAAACAGGAAGCAACCCAACGTGTAGTTGACGTAGATATGAGGTGTTGTTTGTGTCCGACTGTCTATCTGTCTGATGGTGTACACACTTGTATTTGGAGTCCATGGTTCTTCTCTACATCGCAGTCGGACACATTCACAGAGGACGTCAGGTTTATCTCTCCGTCCAGATCATCTGACTGTTTGTAACCCAAAACACAAATTAATAGTTAATAGTATCATTTAAGAAGGCTGATGATATTGGTCATGTTATTATGGCAGATCTGGATAAAACCTTTTCAAATTCCTGTAGGCAGATACAAATGAATTAACAATAACAAACATACATCTAGGAATTGCCAATATAAATATATAATATAAAAACAATATTACACTGAGGTTACTTGGGTATGTAGACTATTTATAAACAAGTTATATTTTTAAAATTGTATTGTTATCAACATATGACTTTTTGGAACATGTTGGCCATATTGCCCAGTCCTATCAAAAACAATTCAGAAATCACTTTTATGTCACATATCAGCTGTTACCTCCTCAGCCTCCGGGTCTCTGTAGTACCTCAGCGTAGAATCACCCAGAACAAACCAGTGTTTCCTCCACTAAGCAAAACACAGTAAACAAGTCCAATGGATTTATCACATTTTCATTACTATAAAACATTTCTTTCTTTATAAGTAGTTTAGGTGTCAAGTCTTATTTTTGGTACCGTCTGTCTGGTCTATGACAGTGTGTTAACAACAGGAATTAGAATAAAAATGACACGATTCTTTTCAAAAGTATGTTCAGAGTAACAATTTCAAAAACTTCCATTTACCTTGCCATGGTCATCCAGGCTTGACATCCACCCCTTCAGGTTACATCGCCTGTAATGAAAGCATTGAGAGCACGCTCTTTAAAGGCATTCTGTAGTGTTTCTGTGTCATGGTTGATTGTGAACAAGAGGAAGCGGAAACCGTCAGCGGCAGACAAACGTGTCTAAGTGTGATAAAAAAAATATTTCTGACGCACGCATTGAGAGGCAGGCAAAATTACAAACCACCAAAAATGGGAAACACACTGCAGAGTGGGAAGGTTAAAATAGGAGGAAGTGTAGTTTTTGCAAACAGTGATTGTCATTGTTAAACAGAGAAAGAGGAACTGATGCAACGTTATTAGACTGACTTAAAACTTTTAAAGCATGTTAGCACTATATCAAATACTTACCACGCATGCATCATATTGTACAGACATTGTGTTGAGGAGAAAAAAGAGACAACATGCGTTATGTAAAATGGGGAAGTCATAAATGTGAGATCACACGTGGCTCTCATTAATATTATTGTGATGTAACTGTTTCTGAACTACTATCAACTACTAGTGATTCAAAGCATTGGAATAACAACCTTTTGGTTTTTTTGGTGAACAATCTGTTTTAGGCGTGACACTACAGAGCTGAAACTGCAGGATATATTGAGTTTAACCATCCCTCTTTCACTTCCTATTAATATAAAAATGATAAATCATATGAGCATGCTGCCCTAAAAAGTAGAGTGTGAACTAATGACTTTTCCTGCAAGGGGCTTCTGTGAGAGGAGCACCTGAGGTGACAGAGCTGAAATAAATATCAGGGATCTACTTAAGGATGAATGTATGAATGACCCATTTTCCCCCAAACCCTCATGTGATTTATTCAGACGCCGGGAAGTCACAAGACCGTGCTCACCTGCATCTGCGGGCATTCAGCAGATGCTTGCTCCTCCACCTTTGAGGATCTGTGTTTTCCACCTTGATAATCTGAGCTCTTCGATAGGACAAACAGACAGGGTTACAAGCTCTCTTGTTTCAACTAATCCTTGATTAATTTTTAGTTTAACTGATTGTTTGGTCTATAAAATGTCAGACATAAATTACTTTTACCATTCATGGATGATCGAAAAAGTTGTTGATTGTTTGTCTGTCCATTGACTTATTGATATGTCACAAATCGTCACATCTCTGTTGTTTCAACATGGATTTAAGGGTGAATATTTGTGCAGTTATAGCGTTGTACCTGTGAATGAGTGGATGGGACCGACTGTCTTCGAGACGACCGTCCGTTCTCAGAGTCCCGACATTTCTCTCGTCTGTCTCTGCCTCTCTCTCTGACTCTCCCCCTCTCATCTGACTCAAGCGTTGAACTGTAGGTGTCCATTTCATCTTGGCTCCTTCGTAGTCAAATTAAAGTGCAGAGAAATAAACACATAGTTTATGCACAGTTTAAATCCTTGTTTTCCCTTCTGCAAATTTCGAATTCCTCTGCAAAGGCACTCCTCCTTTCTTTGGCCAAACAAAATTACAAACAACAACAAAATTACAAACAAAATTACTCATGGATAGATCAAAAGATATCTCCAAAGTTTTTGCTTTGGTCATGGGACTTTTGTTATTGCTTTCTTGGAATAGATGCCATGCGATGTTACCGTACAGTATCATACGGACCCACCCACCTGTGAGTCCGGGGCCTCTGGTCCCTGCACGGGCTCGGACTCTGGTCCCTCCTCCTCAAACCTGTAAGCTCCTCCTCCTCCAGCTGGATCGTAGGGATATCAGCCAGGACAATGTAGTCGTCTATGGTCATCCCCACCTCAGATAAATCGAGATTAATTCACATTTTAAATGATATGTAGTTGGAAAAGTTGTCTCTTGAGTCCACAGTCATGCTAGCATCTTGCTGGACACATTGCGGAAGAACGAAGGGACCTTTTTAACATTTAAAACAAGCACATGTTAGCTAGATACTTATGTTTACAATGGCTCTCAATTGAAATTAGTCGTTAGGAACGTGCCTAATGTTCACCAACCTATTTTAGCATGTGGCACTGGGTAAAGTCGGTAAAAGAAGAAAATGACATAAGTTATTACAATTTATCTTGAGAAGTTTGCAATCTGTTTTTATCGCAATCCCAATAGTTAAAAAAAAAAAGTTTAGTCACATTAGATTGGCTGTAGACAAGTTCTACCTGAAATACATACCTCCTCTTCTTCCACTGCAGCCTTCTTCGGTTCCGAGATGAGTAAGGCCTCCATGCCTCTCCTAATGTTGCTCCTGCTTCTATCACCGCTGACCTGATTGTCATTCCTCTCGTGGCTTATGTCAGATTCTGCGATTGCAACATGTGACAGTGAAGCACCAAGCAGCTGAGAGTCTGTCCCTCGTCTTGAAGTGGAGGAACCGCGGGAGTGTGGGATGCTGAGTAAAGAGTGAGCTGACCCCTGCCAGGAGCCTTGAGAAGGACACAGTCTGCTGTCTTTGGAGGGGGGCTCCCTCGGGGGGGTGTGGCTGTGTGTACTGTAGCCGTTCCTGGACGGTGATACTTCACGGCTGCTGCGTGTGCGAGAGTTGGCCGAGCTGTTGAAGGCTGTTCTGGTTCGAGGAGATGACTGAGATCCTTCGTATGAGTTGTGCTGGATGGCCGAGGATCCACGGCGGGAGATAGACTCCAGATTCCTGTAGAGCTTCTCAGAGTCCAAACTTTGTTTGTTTGAAGCTTGTGAAGGACTCCTCAAGTCCCGGCTGCATCTCCTCTGAGCATCGTAGTCCCCGTTCTTTAAATGCAAAGAGTCTGAGCTCCTGTGAGAAGGGGTGACTCTAGAAGGTGAGGCGGCCCGAGAGGTGGTGGACCCCCTCCTGCGGGATGGACTGGACCTGCTGGATGTTCGCTGAGAGAGACCGCGTGATGGGAGCGGAGAGGAGCCATGAGACGTGGAGTGAGACCGAGCCTGACTCCTGGAGAGGGAGCTTTTCCGCTGGCTGCCCACAGGAGATTCAGCTAATTTGTAGCGATCTGGGCTCACGGAGCTGTGACGCGTCGGCGAGTTATTCTGTGAATCAGCCCCTCGTCTAAAGTTGGAGTGGTAAGTGTACCTCTCAGGAGATTCACTTCTCCAAATCTCCTGCAGGTACGTCTCTCGGTTCCTCCTGAGGGAGGGCGTGCCGAGGTTGACGTTCCTGTAGGGGACGCAGGCTTTGGGCTCAGGAACATAATTGTTGGGAAGAGCATGCCCTCTCTCGTAGTAACGATACGGCCGCTTGGTGACTTCCTCCATCTGCCGCTCCCCCACACCTCTTCTGTCAGGAGAGAAGTAGCCACTCTCTTGTTCCCGGTTTCCTCTGGACTCTGAAAATGGTTAAAGTCTCATGTCATTGTCTGTTCATGTAGCCTGTCAAAAAACATGAGCACAAGTCCAGGTCCAAAAAGATAGTCCTAAATTACATTTAAGGTAGCAACTCATTTAAAAAATGATACAGGAAATGTTCTCCCCAAAATCAAGAATACATATGTTTCATTTTCCCTTTAATGTTTCTTATCAATATATAATGGTTTGGTGACTTACTGAAAAATGATATCTGCAAAGATGTATACCTTCTTTCCAGTTTAAGCAAACTAGATGGCACTTGACTCAAGGTACCAAAAATGACATTTTCCAAAACTCATCAGCAATGTACATTTCCAGAAACTACTTAAAATAATTCACAGATTTGGTTGTGAGTTTAATGTAAGAATTTTTTCTTTTTATGTCATTATTTTACAAACAAATGAGCACAAGCGTGATATCGATGAGCAGCTTTTTTTCTTGGCAGTGCCAACATTTTTGTAGTTAAGTTTAAAAAAAAAAAAAAAAAAAGGTTTCTTCATAAAACATGAAAATAAATAGTTTTTATAGTGAGGTGAACTGTCCCTTTAAGTTTAAAGGTGCAGTATGTATATCTGTGACCCTACCCGATTCCCGGCGGGACCGGTCTCGGCCCCTCCTCTCATCCATACAGGAGCTTTCAGCTTTGGTCGGGTCCAGCCGGGTCATATCTCTGTGATCCTCACAGTTTCTCTCTGGGCTGAGCGATCTGCTCCTCTCGGGACTGTCCCACTGATGTGGAGAGCTGGAGGATGGCAGAACGAGGTCAGCACAGATATACAGACCCAGAGGCCGGAGCAAACAACGAGTTGGAAAACATGTTTACTGGAGACAGTCTCTCTGGCAACTTGGTTGGTAATTACACATATTGTAAAAAGTAAAAGACGGTAGTGTTCAGTACTGGAAATTACATTTAATCAAGTACTGTACTATGTACAACTTTAAAGTTTAGTATTTACATTCTGTGCCTTATATACTTATACTCCACTACAATTTATTTATTTTATTTTCATCTTTTTCGACCATTGGCAGTGTAAGGTTTGATCCTTGAAAGCTAAAGTTAAGCAGCTCATTCAGTGATATTCACAGAGGAACCCAACAGACTCAGGTGTCTTTCTGTGAGAGTGTGCTGTTTCATCGTATACACGTATATGTGCTCACTGCTCAGGCATACTTCTACGTAAAAACATATGGTTTCTAAATCAGGATACAGGATACACTCACCTGGATTGTATGTCAGTGTCACAGATATTGAGTTCCCACTCAGGACTCAGACTGTGGACCAGACTCCACTCGTAGGTCCAAACGCCACTCACGTCATCACTACTGGCTCTGCTGGTCACCTCAGAAAGGGCACGAGGATCATCATCTGCATCCTGGATGGTAGAGCACAGCAACACATTTTCTATATACATTTTAAATTAAGGCTCTTGTAATAAGTGTTAGATAATAGGTAATAATACGATGCTTATTGTTATTGACATCGACATGTGTTAAGGAGAATAAAGAAGACACAATTTATAGTACGATTATAAGACATTGATAGGCACTTGTAAAGAACAGTTTATCGACTGCTTAGGTACTTTAAGAAAAGCTTTATGAGTGTATTATATTTGTTTATAATAGCGTTGCAACCAAATTCATGGATTTTAACTGTCATGTTTTGTTATGTTAAACCTTTATTTAGCTTTTCTTGACAGTTAACGAGGCTTTTTGTAGCTACAGGATTTAAAGTGAGAACAATGCCTTGTTAGGGTTACTACATACTTTTATTATTCACTTAGCAGGTAACTACGCTAAAACTGGCCCTGGACCTCAGAGTATTTAAAATGTAAGACATTAACTGTCGGAGTCAGAATCTTGAAGTTTATAGAGACAGTTCAATTTGATTGTGCCTGTAAATCAGATATTTATTGAGATTTTGTCATCACCTGCTTTAAAAGGATAAGATTTAGAAGATATTACAATGTATAATGTTTTATTTTATTATGCAGCAACTTTCATTACTGTATTAGCCTGACAAAAGCCCAGTCAGTTGTATTAGAAGGAGCCATTCATTTTAAGAAAAACAAACAACCCAAACCAACATAAACTGACCCTATATAAAGTAATAGCCAACTATCTTCCAAAGTTAAAAGATTAAAACATATTTTACTTACTGCGACTTCACGCTGTCTTTCAGCTAAATCTGCTGTCAAGCTTTAAGCAGCTCACTTTCTTCCCTCCTTCTTTCTCTCCCTTCGTTCCAGCTAAGCCAATACATTTAGTTTGCACAGGACGTAACTCAAGCTAGTCTCTGGTCATGCTCATCATTATTTCATTGCTCTGGTGCTTTTGCATTACCTGAACCGCCCACTCAAGTTCTTTCTCATCTTTATCTTGATCTTTAGTTCTCCTTCATTTACAGCCATTTTAGCTCTTGATCTCTTGACATGGATGCAGGTTCAAAGAGTTGGAAGTGTTGTCCTTTGTTTTCAGATCGAGAGAAAGTCTATATTATAGTAACTACAGCAGAGTAAAAACTTTCTTTACTTTAGTCCACTGAAGGATTTAACTAAAGTAGGTCGTTTGTATGAGGGGACATGTTTGCATGTGTCATTTGGGCATATTAGATTACAACCTATTCCCTAAGGATTGTAATGAGCTTTCATTAATTAATGATACAGAATCAAATGCCACCTTAATGTATTATCCTTCTCCCACCTCCACAGTCGTTTCACTTGAGGATTGCATTATTAGTTGACATCATTTAAATTCAGTGTGCAACTTGTGGGACCGTTTTGACACACCAGTCATATTCAGTCATTAAAAGACACTTGACCCGTTATTTATAATGTCAATAGATTTTGACCTCAATAATGCACCTGTTTTCATAAATGTTTTAAACTAGATCTGGTCACATAAACATGACTGTTAAAACCTCAACCAAATAGCTCTACCCTGCAATACACAATCATAACAATACAAATGTCATTATTTAGGTGATTTATCTTCAATGTCTTTTAGCATGATATGATGTATGGTGCCAGTAGAACGAAGAAGGTTAATAACATCATGTAGGTAACTTACAAAAGCAACAATTTTGTTGAATGTTTGGGACACTCAGGTTTTTTTTCATTACCTGTAGAGCTGACTGACAGTGTGTTGATTTTACTGTTAATAGCTGCTTTTTCTTAATGCAATGTTTCATGTTAGCTAGCATTAGCTGAGAAATAGCAATCGAAGGTGGCATGCATAGCCGCGGGAAGTAGGGGTGCTGGGGGTGCTGCAGCACCCCCTGTTGGCGAGTGGTGTACATTTGAAAAACTGAGTGACCACCTAAATAAAAATGATTAAACTACATAAAATAGTTATGATTTTACTTAAAATAAAATTAGCTGTATACAGTAGCATATAATAGTCATAGTATATATTTGTATATATCAGGTGGCTTGAATTTATTTTC